CAAGTGATGGAATAGAAAACTTTGCAAACAAAATTAAAGCAAGACATGAGACATTCAAGGTGACTGCAATAAGACACACAGGTCAAGGGTCATGTCATTATCTGTCATCAAAGGTCAATTGCTGTCTCACAAATGATTTCAGCTCACACTTCTGATGTACACATATAACAGGTAAAAGGTAAAATCACATGATGTCACCTGCCCTTTCTTTCACCCAACAAAACAAGTAAAAATAAAATGAAATAAAATTCCAGAGGCACAGAAACAATGAGGAAAAAATCACACGTTGTGTAAACAATTCATGATCGAACCAGTGTAAAATAACAAAATGTATACAATCCATCAATTTGTGTTCAGCATTATAGGTGTAAAACTTTATGAGATGATGGAAGTAAGACTGATAACAAGAACAGGTCTGATTATGATTGGCTAAAACTCTAAGCTGTACAATTGCTGAAAAGCCAAGCAAATTAACACAAAAACGAGAGGAAGAAAGAAAAACCTCTAAAAAAATGCACATGAAAAACGTCTGGTTGAGGGCAAGCTCCCCGACACATTCATCCCGCCCTGTCCTGGCAAATGAGGAGTGGAGGGGGGGGGGGGGGGGGGGCCAGTTTGCCGTACGTCTGAGTAGACGTGGGTCTCAGCAACACATTTCTCCAACCCAGAGGCGGCCATCTTCCCCTCTCAGTGTCGGGTGAGCTGATGGGGCCATGTGCACCCTCAACCTTGCGTAGACCGGAGCGATGAGCTCTTGACTTCTCATTCATGGGACGCTGAGGTTCCTTAGTCATATACTTTTTCACATGCGTTTCATGAGATGTCATATCAGAGCACCCCAGGCTCATACTTAACAATGTTCACTGACGGGTCGTAGAAACCGGCCAGATAGAATGTGTTGCGCGGTGACTTCCCCTTGCGTGCTCTCTGTGCCACATATCTTTTGTAGGCAGGCCGAGAGAGGACCTCACACTTATAGGCTATCGTCTGAACATCATTCTCGTCTCCATGGGGGGATTCGAACAGGGCATTCTGGGGAAAGGCAGGCACCATATATAATATATATTCAAAGCTCAAATCATTTTCTAAAAGACATGTTGACAAAATAAATTACTTATCGCAATCTGTGAATAGAGATATTGGCCGAAAATTGACACAGGGATCAGATTTGCAGGCTTTCAACTGTTGCAATTTCCATGAGATTTAACATACCTTTAATCTTTTATACTGATAAATAGTAAAATTTCTGCTTATTAATTTGATGAATCTACATCCCTCAGGCTAAATTCCGAGAAGCGACTCATTTTGTTAGCACACCTCGCCTTTAGCAATTACCGTATAACTCGCTGTAAGCTTCCCATCCAACAAAGTCATTCGCTTTTACCCCACAGATCTCCCACCTAACTGTGACCTTGTACTCCAGTGGTATCTGGCAAGAACTCCTCACCACAAGAACAGTCAGGATGACAGTGTTAGTTTAGTTTTAGTAAGTTTTACAACACTTGCAACTTTTTCATGTATGTGCTGAAGATTGGAGGTGTTATATTGTTTTAGTAAGTATTTTACGGCATTTGCAACACAATCAGGTCAAATAAGTGACAAATGGGAACCATGTGGCCTAGAGGTTAAGGTGTATGCCTCTCATTCAAAAGTCCAGGGTTCGAATCCAGGTGGCGACCGAAAAATTTTCTTGTTTAAAATAGTCTGTTTTCTCCTCCTTTCCTTCTCTCTAGCAATGTTCTGTCGTCTGCTTTCGTCTCCACTTTCTACCTCCACCCCCTCACCTCATTTGCCCCCTCCTCTGGGCTCCTGGCTCTTTCTGCAGCCTTTCTACTGCTACTCCTTGGCTCCTTCTTACTGCTGTCTTTCAGCCACATCCCCGATCTTCTGATAGGAAAGGCCTATACCTAGCCTTCTCGGACAAGGGTGAAAAATCTTGGAGGTCCCGTGTGCAAGTTGCACAAGTTAAAGATCCCTTGGTGGTCTAAAATTGATAAGCGTTGGCTTCCTCCACCACCCGGGCAAAAATTCAAAATTTCCAACCAACTGAAAATGTTTAATGTGTCCCGTGCGCTCATATGACCGTATGCAGTTGTGAACACCGTAAAACATTTACAAAAAACCCCCAAAAAGTGCCAAAGATTATGTTTGGCATGGGGTTTTACGGCGCACGCAATTGCATACGGTCAAATGAGCGCGTGAAACAAGTTGGTTTTTTCTCAACAGTTCATTCCTCGGCCTGATACTGGTCAATATTTCAATTTAAAATTGTTAGAACGCTAAAAATCTAGTGTCAATAGGTTTTAGATTTAAATGTAAATTTAAAACAACTTTCTAAATAACATTAAAAATTTCAAAAATTTTTATAACTTTCCATAAAGGCCATTGGCCTTCATAAAATCTAAAATTGTGCTGGGAACAATGACCCCCCAAAAAATATCTACATTTTTTTCATTTAAAATATTTCCTTCGGGTCTCTCCGAAGTCTAGACATTCGTTTAAAATGAGCCTAATGGTAAAATCTGTGTCGCTGTATCGCATCGAAATGACACAGAACGGCTTCTCTTCTCCCTGAAGGAGGTATTTGTGTGTTAGGGCTGTGTGTCCGATGCGTAATTGAGTAAAAATGACTTCGTCTCTTCTGTAGAGGCCCGAAGGATTTCGCGGTCCCAGTTTGGGTTTAATATTGTGGAGTTTGTTATTTGTTTGTTTTTTCCAATGGCTCTCCCACAGACTGGAGCCGAAGATTAGTGTTACAAGAGAGTAACAAACACAAAAAAGAAGGAGTAGAGATAGATAAGGACAATAGATGTTTGATAGGAAAGAAAAAACAAACTACACAAGAGCACCCGCCAACCACCCACAGAGGAGTTATAACAGGGTAACATTAATAACAAACACAAAAAAGGAGGAGAGATCATGACGATAATTGTTTGATAGAATAGAAGGAGCAAACCACACCACAGCATCCTCCAACCACCTACTGACACTGTCCGAAAAAAGAGGAGAAAGAAAATGGAAAGTATTGAGGAGACAAGACAGATAATCTGGCTCATCCCAGAGAAGAGTACAAATACAGGAGTAGGTGTAATATGTGTCCTCAAAAAAGTGCAAAGCCAAAGTAAACAATAATAATACTATGTCCGTCAATGTCTGACAATGACCAACACTTCAGAAGAGGAGGATTTTTCTTATACAGTGGTAGAAGAACTGAATTTAAATGACTTGTGGCTTCAGCTATGGCCAATGTGACCATGCAATGGCGCAGAAGAGTTTGCCACATTTTGAGCATTTTTGCAGACCAGACACAAGATAGTTTATTTCCAAGGGGAACACAGTCCTTGTCTGTAGAGTAGTCAAAGGAAAGAAGTTTGGGAAATGTACAAAAGAAACCTTTTCGAACTCTACTTAGATTTGAACTGCAACCTTCTGTTTATCAATTTACATCGGTGATCTAATGTGCCACAGTGATTTGCAGAAGCAAAATAATTTTTTTTTAAAATACAGAGATGAAGATAAAACCAGGGAAGACCTTAAACCACCTACAGCTGAGAAAGTTTACTTTCTAACTTGATAAGATACACAAAAATATCTCAGGCTACAAATGAGTCTCTTATTCTTAGGTTAAATGTACTTATCCTTTCTGTGGTAAGTGGCCTACAAAACAAGTTATCTGTGTCTTGTTCAAATGGATAGAATGACCTTTCCCTCTAGTTGCAAGTCTTACCTTGGGGTCCCCGATCCTCTTGCCTCCCTTGGTTTCCTCTGGGTGGTAGAACCAGCTGACCTTCACCTTCATCTTGCCATTGTGGGACTCCCACAGACTGACGATCTTGCCGATGTATGGGTGCGATGTCTTGGTGGTAGAGATGAAGACAGCACTATCACCCACAGACAGCGTCATCTTGCCACGGCTGATGGCTTTGTAGAACTCTTTGCGAGCTCTCCCCTTCATTCCAGGACGTTTGGTGCTCTTCCCACACCACACCCACGGCTTGCCCAGGTCTGGAAAAAAGTAATAAATGATGTTTGTTTTAGTAAGGTTTTACGGTGCTCCCAACTGCATAAGGTCAAATGAGTGCCAAGGGGTGAATGTCAACAGAGAAGTCCAAACCTTGAATCAGGCTTACTCTGCTCACCTCTCTAGCCCCAACAGCACAAAGTCTGCATTAAATATCAACAAGACACACCGGAAATAACAGTTTACAAGACAGTGACAAACATACAAAAGCAGTACAGGTAAAATGTTGACCGTATGGATAAGGAAAGAAAAAGCAGCAGTTCCCCCTATGTTGTTCTGGCACAGTATGAGAATGACATTGATAAATCAGCCCATTTACAATTCTACAGTGCGTAAGAACATGCTAATATCCCCCTTTTGGGAATGGCCTTTTAGTCAGTAGCACTGCCCTGGAGGGGGGGGGGGGGGGATAAATGAAAGATTTTATTTATTTGAGTTGAGAGAAACTCAATGACAGAATAAATGTCATTAAGTGCTGCAAAAAAAAAAAAGACTTCATTTGTCTGAGGAAAGAGAAACATTGACAGAAGAATGATGAGTACAAGGAAAAAGTCAAACAGACAGACAGAAACAGAGAGGAAAAAGAAAATGAGGACCTACCAGCAGCACCGACTAACCATCCATTAACAGTTTTTGAGTTAAACAGAAATAAAATAGTTGTATAAAAGTATAAAAAATGTCACATATACACACTAAAGATTTCAGGCATAATGCTTTATTTGTTTCAGTTTTAGTAAGACTTTTATGGCACTTGCAACCCAATTAGATCAAATAAGAGCCGAAGATTAGAGGTGTTTTTGTTTTAGTAGAGGTTTTACGGCACTCGCAACTGCATACGGTCATATGAGCGCCAGAAGATCAGAGGTGTTACAAGAGAGTAACAAACATAAAAAAGAAGGAGGGGAGAAAAGGACGATAGATGTTTGATAGGAAAGAAGAAGCAAACCAGAGCACCCGCCAACCACCCACGATTAGAGGTGTTACAAAACAGTAACAACAAACCCAAAGAAAGAGAAGAAATAAGGATGATAGATGTTCGATAGGAAAGAAGGAGCAAAACACACCAGGGCACCCACCGACCACCCGTACAGAAAGTTTCATGGGACTAGACAACAAATAAAGAAAACAGAAACCAATTTCAAATAGCATTTGACAGAACAGAATTGCCTGTCAATAACTGAATAAAAGACAACAAAAACAGCAACAATTACCTGAATACTAAGAAAGCAGACAGCCTCTGCACAAAAAGATTAAGATTTGGAAAACCAGTTTTACCTTCACTCCCAGAGTCCTCACTGCTTGTGTCCTCCTCCTCCTCCTCCTCATCATCTTCCCCCTCGTCTTTCTCATCGCTGTCCGACTCGACTTTTCTCTTGTTCCCAGATTTCTTCTTCTCCTCTGCAGCTTTCTTCACATCTGACGCATCTGATTCCGTACGACGTCGTTTTTTCTCAGACTTCAAATTTTCCAAAGGATCTGGCTCATATTCTGAAACAAACCAAAAAAACCCCCAGAACTATTTAAGAAAGGGCCATTATTACAGCACAATATTCAGCTTGGGTATTTGTAAGAAAATGGTGATCAGTCTGTTTTCATGATCTTTGATTTTTTTTGTTTGAGTAAAGGGAAGCACATTGACAAAAAAATGGTTGCTTAGTACTGAAAAAAAAGACAAGACAGACGAAAATGAAAGAGTAAAGAAGTAAGGCCTAACAAAGGTGCCCTTTGAGCACTTTCATGTCTTGATCTGAGCACAAGAGAAATACATCAGCATGATAAAGGTCAGTTAGTTATGACAGCCTAAGACAGAGAGACAAAAATTAAGTGATAGAAAAGAAATGCAAGTAACAGTGGCATCTTACAGCCACCCATACCCACAGATGCATAGAGGAACTTATACCTCACAAAATCCTCACTCTGATTATATCACTTTTCTTAATTCTTAGAAGTCAGCACAACTATTGACTAGATGCTGCATTATCGTTTGGGGGGGGGGGGGGGGGGGGGTGTTCTTGTTTTTCTATTTTAAGACAAATATCTGCAACTGTTTCCTTCCCTTCTTTCTTTTTTTTTTCTTAAAATTTTGGTGGGTAATGCATTCATGTATTTTGAAACCTTTCTTTTTTCTGCTGAAAATGAAAAGGCTAACATATTTATAGTTCAAATTAAACTTGTTCCAATATAGCAAGGAAAAGAGTTTTAGTAAGCGTATTACGGCACTTGCAACACAATAAGGTCATATGAGTGCCAAAGATTAGAGGTGTTACAAGAGAGTAACAAAAAAAAAAGGAGGAGGAGAGATAAAGACGATAGATGTTTGATAGGAAAGAAGAAGCAAATCGCACCACAGCACCAGCCAACCACCCATGGAAAAGACTTATGACTTGTAAGAGTTAAACACTGTTAGAATCTGAACCCCGACTCAATTGGTATGGCATTCCAGAGGAGATTGTGATATTAAACAATATTTTGAATTGTACCATCAAAATTTGTCCTAGTAAGAAACCCAGCTTGGAGGAAAGATACAAAATAACTTTGTAAGCCATGAAATTCTGACACATATCCTAGACTCATAGTCCACAGCATTCTTTTGCCAGTGATTACAACAGCTCATTCAGGGACACAACTTAGAGTCTAACAATAAAAACAAAGACCTTAATCTTGCCCTGTCTTTTGATTAAAGTCTTGTCTTTTGTAAATTCTTTAAATACATTTGTTTATGACGTGAAATGTTTGTCTCTCAGGCATTATTTTTCACTACATCCTGGACCCCTTTTCTTCATTTCAATATACCAAATCAAAAACTGTTACATGGACTTAATTGTAGCTGTGACTTAAAAAGTACAGTGATGATACTTTTTTCGCAACATTTCAAGGCTTTTTGTTGATGCTTACTTTTTCATTTTGAAAAATAATAGATCTTTAGACACGGACAGATTATGGGGAGTCTGGGCCATAAGGTTCAGAGAGTGAGACAACTCCGTCGTACACAAATACACTCTTCAGCATCACAGACAAAGACAAGCACATAAAACTGAGGCAAAAAAAAACAAAAAACATTTGAAACATTCTTTAGTTTAGTTTTAGTATGTGTTTTACAGCACTTGGAACACAATTAGGTCATACAAGTGCCTACGGTTAAGGTGTTACTAGAGAGTAACATTAAAAGAGAAGGGGGAGGAGAGATAAAGATAACTGCAACCTTCAGAAATTAGGAATAACTGGTACTGGTAAATAAAAAGTGACTTGTACAAGTAAGGCAAGCGTGTACTGACCGATGATGGGAAAGTCTGGTGGCAGCAATCGGATGTGGTTGATGGGGATACGTCCTGAGTCTCCGTCGTCAAACTCCACGTTGACAGAGTTTGTGTTGTGAGGGTTGGGACTCGCTGAGAGAATACAGGGAGGAAGAGAGAGATTTGTTTTAGAACGTTTTATGGCACTTGGAACACAAATCATAAAAGTGCCGAAGATTAGAGGTGTTACAAAGGAGTAACTAACACAAATAAGAAGGAGAGATAAGGGCTATAGATGTTTGATAGGAAAGAAGGAGCAAATCACATCAGAACCCCTGCCAACACCCACACAAAGTACTGACTGATTAAGGAACAGGAAGCTGAAGAGGATACCCAACCACAGCCTCTCAAACTGCAGTAGGTTGCTTCTGTTGCAGCCAATAGTTTCTCAACACAATAATCTGTACAGAAAGAATAAGAAACTAAAAGACAGAAACACATGCAGACAGGCGGTCAGAGACAGATGAATAAACAAACAGATCAAGACGGACTGGTGGATAGACAAACAGGTACCAACAAGTGGACAGAACAGGCAGACAATAAAAAAACATATTGCATTCATATAGCACTCAACTCCGATTAAGATATACAGGCTCTTAGAACTTTACAATAAAATTGTAAAGCATAAACAGTACATTGCGCTCAGTCTCAAAATTTATTGGGCCTACATATATCTCTCATTAATCTAAAAATAAAAACCAGATAGACAAAAAAACCAGACAGACACAGAGGAGACACAGTACAGTGGGCGATGCTCACTCTTTGCCACAGTGCCCGGGTAGAGACAGGAGAACTGTTGACTCCAGAAGGCACAGACGCGAGTGCCCTCCTTCAGGTACCGCAGACTGCCCGGCCGGACGTCTATCACCTAGGGAGCGATAAATTATAAAAGTTGAATTCTTAGAAGTCGGTATGTCTACTGGCTAGATGCTGTACTATTGTTTTGTCTTGTTTTCCTCATTCACTATAAATATCTGCCTGCCTGTACAGCAACTGTATCCTCATATATCAAATCTTCCTTCTTTTCTGAAAATTGTGGTGGGTAATGCCTGCTTATAACTTGAAATCTCTTTTGTTATGCTGAAAATGCTCATGTTTATTATTTCAAACTTAACTTGCTGTGACAAAACAGGGAGAAGGCCTAAGATTTGTAAGAGTTAAGTATAAACCCCATGTCTTTGAGCATCATGAGGATCACAGCCCACGGTTTTCTGTTTCTGTAAGACCAAGCACCGGCTCTACTGTGACCACAGATGTGACCCTGGATTGATGTCACAAGCAACCATACTGCAGGCTAGATTGAAAACCTCATTTCTAACAATATCTTGTCTCGCTGTAAATCAGAAAAACAACATTTTAAGCAATGATTTCTGTTCCAACCATCCAATCTCAATAATGCTTTGCCCATTCGTTGAATACTGAGAAGCCCATATCAAATTGCGACAGAAAAACAAGGGCATTCTCCACTTAACCTCTTCACTGCTGTTTGGACATACACACTCGTTTACAAAACTGGGTCTCTGCTATTCTTTCCAATGGACTGAAGGGGACGTTTCTGGAGATATAATTACATTTTTAGTTGTTAATTCTGAAATAAGGGGAAAAGCCTTTTGGTTTTGTCTTAATATTCTAAAAATAAATGAACATCCAATCTTATCAGGGCAAACGTAGAGAGAAATATCTCAGCAATTAAAAGGTTAACTACTATTTTCACTCAAATGGCAGCATGCTAGGTGACCAGTCTGTCAACCACTTACAGCATCTTTGAGGATTTCCTCCAGGCTGAGAATGTGTGGCCGACTTCCTCTTTGACCGGCGGTCAATACACCATAGCTGGGGAGGTAGATGGAAAGGTAGGGGATCACAACATGGCTGAGAGTTTTGCAGGTTGGAGAGAGTCTGGTTTTTTTGGAAAAATTAGAGAGGGGTGCTAAAATAAATATACAGAAACAATAACACTATTGTCATAACACTTCATTCATTAAAGTTTATTAGCGGAGTGAGTGAATAACACATGCAACTTTTGGAGATGGATGTTTAACTCGGAGGTCCCGCCTCTTCAATAACCTAACAGTGTTGATAGAGGCGTTAAACCCATACAATTTCACCATTTTTTTTCATTGACTGCAAACACTTTGAGTATTTGACTGATTAAGGTTGTGCTCATTACATTCAATATTCATTTGTTTGGGTAATAAATGCAATGAGAAATGTATGCATTTTTTCAAAACTGTATACCTTTTTTTTGCACACCTCTCTTCTCTATAAAACTTCACAACTCTATGCATCCTAACAATCACAGCCCACTGTTCCGTGTTCCTATAAGACATAGCTGATCCTTGATTTTACACACTACCTAAGAGAAGCTTGAAATGGGGGTCTGTGTTTTACTTGCACAATTCTATGCGTGAAGTCCCATTAGTGAACTCATAATTAGAGTAATATCTGTTTAAAATTTTGTCTAAATGAAGTTATGTCAATGGGATTTACTGTGAAATCTATTTATATCTCAGAGGAAAACAATGAAAGAGCTGGTGAGAGGGTCAAGAGATGGAAGAGGATGAAATAAGAGTTTGGGAGAGAACAGAGAGAGCACAATGGAAAAAGAGGGGGAAAGAAACATACAGACAGACTGACAGAGACAGAAAGATGCAGAGAAAGAGTGAGGGAGGGAGGGAGGGAG